ACTGCCTACTCCTCGAGGACACACTCTGCGGAAGGTTCTACAACGGCACCCTGCTACGCGACCTATACCCCGAGGAGGGCTACCGGGGAGACCCCATTTTCCTCGTCCTACGACTTTGAAGCCTGAACCTCCTCCGAGGTAGCCATACCTTCCCATCGGGCAAAAGAATACGACCCCTGCCTCAACGAGGACAACCACAAGACCTTCGCGCCGAGAATTACCAACGCCAAGCTAAGGCCTACCACGAAAAGCGTGTCCGACCTCGTTACTCCTAGGACGGCAACCACGTCAAGACGCCAAAAGGAGAGATGATAAATAGAGTATGGGACTCCGAGCACTTGCTCAAATACTTCCAATATTTACATCTTGTAAGGTGGTCCGCCCCCTTCAACTTGAATAAATGCAGTAAAACTTCGCCATGGACTCATTTTCACTATTTCGGAGGGGTGGAGGTACCCATCCAGCCTCTTCGGCTACCCTAAGGGGGTGCAAGGCCCGACCTCGTTGACTACCCGACGAAAGAGTCTAACGGCCCATGTCTGGCGACTTGGGGCCGACAGGCTACCCTAAGGGGGCACGAGACTCGACCTCGCGTACCAACCCCGACGGAAGAGCTTAAGGGCCCAAGTCCGATGACTTGGGGCCAACGGGCTTGCCCTAAGGGGGCACGAGGCCCAACCTCGCGTACCAACCCCGACAGAAGAGCTTAACGGCCCAAGTCCGGTGACTTGGGGCCGACGGGCTTACCCTAAGGGGGCACGAGGCCCGACCTCGCGTGCCAACCCCGGCAGAAGAGCTTAACGGTCCAAGTCCGGTGACTTGGGGCTGACGGGCTAACCCTAAGGGAGCACGAGGCCTGACCTCGTTCACCACCCGACAGAAGAGTTCTTGGACCAATGTGTACCCTTAACCAAGCAACTACACCTACCAAAACCAAAAAAAAAAAAAGAAAAAAAAAACTACTCCTTGGTAAAAGGTTTAACCTCTAAGTAGAGTCCAAACTCTGGGGCTGGGCCGAGCAATGGGGTTATTCATCAACTGAAGTCAAACACAGCCAAGGAGGGCGTAGGGGGACTAGAGCTTAGCCCTCACAAGGCGACCTTAGCAGCTGTAGCCCCAGCTAGAGGTGACCGGGTAGCCTCGGCTAAGGGTGGCCCAAAACCCGACTCTCTATAACAAGGAGGCTACCTCATGAGCTCGCCCAAGAGGAGAACGCATCAAGGATGCCACCTCATGGGCAATCTCCAAGACGAGGACGGCTACCTCATGAGCTCGCCCAAGAGGAGGACGCATTAAGGGGGCTACCTCATCAGCTCACCCAAGAAGATGACGCATCAAGGGGGCCACCTCCTGAGCTCGCCCAAGAGGAGGACGGCTACCTCATGAGCTCGCCCAAGATGAGGACGCATCAATGAGGCCACCTCATGAACTCGCCCAAGAGGAGGACGGCTACCTCATGAGCTCGCCCAAGAGGAGGACGCATCAATGGGGCTACCACTTGAGCTCGCCCAAGAGAAGGACGCATCAAGGGGGCTACCTCATAAGCTCGCCCAAGAGGAGGATGCTCAAGAGGGCTACCTCATGAGCTCGCCCAAGAAGAGGACGGCTACTCATGAGCTCGCCCAAGAGGAGGACAGCTACCTCATGAGCTTGCCCAAGAGAATGACGCATCAAGGGGGCTACCACATGAGCTCGCCTAAGAGGAGGACGCATCAAGGGGCTACCTCATGAGCTCACCCAAAAGTGAACTCAGAAATCAAAGTCTCATACACGATGCCAAGGAGTCCAGGACTTGTTAGTGTTCTTGCGGAAGAGAAGAAGTCCCAATCGCGATGGAATCACACCAAAGTCGGCCAAAGAGGAAGGAGGCGGGGCGGACGTCTTCCCGTGGGCTTGGGGTTGACCTTCAACTCGAGCTACTTTCCTTCGTTGACGACGACTCGCGACTCGGAGAGTGGGGTACTAATGATGGATATATTAGGAACGGGCTCGGGGCAAACCGACCCGTGAAGGCGTGGTGCAAGGGGCCAAGGGCAACCCCGGCACGGGCCGACTAAGGCCTTGGATAGGGGACTCCCGTGGCCCGGCCAAGGTCGACCCGGGAAAGCGTGGTGCAAGGGGCCCAGGGCGGCTCTGGCACGGGCCGACTAAGGCCTCGGCTAGGGGACTCCCGCGGCCCGGCCAAGGTCGACCTCAGCAGGGGTCTACTTCGACCCGTCGGCCACAGCTAGGGCCTACCTCGACCCAGGGGCACAAGGCTGCCCCGGGTCCTCGCGTGGACTCGGTCAAACCGCGATCTAACCGCCCACGAGAATAGGGTGGGCGGTTGGGAGGTTAGCTAATATAAAAAGGGGGATCATTGTCTTGTGGAGGGCATCTACTTCTGGGTCTTATTATTACATTCACATTGTAATTCTCTTACAAACATTAGCAATACAAAAGTTGTCCCTGCGACACACATTTATCGCCTTTATTATTGCATTATCCTAGTCCTATTATTATCGGGATTAGTAATTCCTGCTACCCTGGGTTAATTAAATCCATCACTAGCTGAAAAGGTAGCTGAAAGCTTAGAAGGACAAAGATGGAAAAAAAAAAGTTAGAAACCTATTAGCTTATTTTGAAACGCTATTTTAGGTAGCGTTTCAAAATAAGCTCTTATTTTAAACTAGGAGCTTATTTTGAAAAAATTAACAAACAGAACTTATAGTTTTTTAGGAGGTTAAAATATGCTATAAGCTCGTAAATAAGCTCCACCAAACAAACTCAATTATGTTCATCAATTTAATACAATACATACTATTGATATCACTTCCTTTTCATTCATTATAATTGATGTTGGGTTATAGTGCTTGAATTTACACCAACACTATACTCACTATTTTTTTTTGGGTATACCCAAAATTTTCACCGTCGAACACGATAACTAATCTCCTCGTTGAATTGTAGACACCTCTTTTGGGTGGGACAGCTGGCCTGGAGATTTAAGGCTGCTCCATTTTCAAAGCCAATGATAGAACCCTTGACCTTTGATTAAGAATGGTTGAGTCCCTTTCACTCAATCACACCCTCCAAGTTGTACTCCCTATTTTTTATCATTGAAAAAGTGTCAAAAACTTGAAATTTTTGGTAAAAAAAAAATATATATTTTCAATCACTTTAGTTGAGATCCAAAAAATCCTTCACTGGTATGGGTGACCGAAAATTTTGGTTGGTTAATTGGTAAGACATTCCCCAAATATTTGACTATCGATAGTCAAAATTCTGATCACATGTATTTAGAAATCTAAAAAGTAAAAAAGGTTAATTTTAAAAATAATCCTTCGACTATGATCTTTTCTCAAACTGGTCTCTTAACTTTTGACTTTTAAGTTAAAATGGTCATCTGTTAGTTTTGGCGTTAAGTTGGTGTTAAAATGAAGGGTAAAACTGGAATTGAAAGTTTAAGATTTGCACTCCAATTTAAAGCAATCTGTAATTCTTTTTAGCAATCTGCGCACATATTTCTTCAAATTAAGTTTTTGGTCTCCTAAATGTGCAATTAAAATGTGGGATAATCAACTAGAAGGCCAGAAATATTTGCCTTGAAAAGTTTGTGGATGAAGTTAAAGATAAATTTTTTTGGCCTTCTAGATTATTATTCCACATTTTGATTGTAGATTTAGAGACCAAAAACCTAATTTGAAGAAATATTTGCGCAGACTGCTGAAAAGAATCACAGATTACATTAAATTGGAGTGCAAAACCTAATTTTCCAGTTTTACCGTTCATTTTAACGCCAAAGCTAACAGATGACCATTTGAATTGGCTTAAAATTTAAAAGTCGGAGGACCACTTTAGAGAAATTAAAAGTCAAGAGACCAATTTGAAAAAAGACCATAGTCGGATGACCATTTTGGAAATTAACTCAATAAAAAATTTAAAACTTTTTTTTTTTTGAATAAAAAATTTAAAACGTTTATTCTAACAAAAATGTTATTTGAGCAGATACCCAAGTTTCTGTCACAGTCTAGCGAAAATATAATAGGGTTGTTTTTAAAATTAAAAAAAAAAAAAGAAAATAAATAAATAAATAAAGTTTCCTTTGCTTCCTCCACATCGTCCTTTGTAACTGCTTTTGCCTTTTTTCTTTTTCTTTTTAACATAATAAGATTAAAATAAAAGAAAAGAAAAGAAACCATAAGAATATATATTTTTTGGTAAAATAGTTAACCTATCAATCAATTTTACCTTGTTTGACCGCAATTAACTATTTGTTAAACCAGTGTTTGATAAAGTTATAATTTTTTGTAACAACTTATTGCTCCAAAACACTAAAATTCAAAAAGTTGTTAAACAAGTGTTTGATATAGTTATAGCTTTTTGTAAGAATTTATTGCTCCAAAACACTAAAATTCAAAAAGTTGTTAAACAAGTGTTTGATAAAGTTATAGCTTTTTGTAACAACTTATTCTCCAAAACACTAAAATTCAAAAAGTTGTTAAACAAGTGTTTGATAAAGTTATAACTTTTTGTAACAATTTATTGCTCCAAAACACTAAAATTCAAAAAGTTGCTCAAAACAGCTTTTTGATAAAGTGTTTTTTTTTTTTTTTTTTTTTTTTTTGTATATAATCAGCTAATAGCTAATTTACCAAACATCTCTATACAATCAGCTAATATTATCAACGAGTCAAATTCACTAATCAAATTAACTAATAAATATAAGTACTGTAATTCGTATTGAGCTCGCATGAACAGCTCAATTGGTCAGTGGGATGACGAGAAGTGGCCATCAGGCCATGCCATGGAAGACCATATACACCTACCACACCACCGCTCATAAGTCATACCTATTCATATTTTGTATTACGTAGAAATTAAAGCTGTCTACCATTGCATCTACCGTATCTTTTAAATGCTGTACAGACTACACACCACAAACGGATTTCACAGAAACTTCTTCTCTGCTAACAACTACTACGGACTACTATATAAACCCATCCCACACAGACAACCTTGTAACACACAAAACATTCTACTACATACTCGCTCTCGATCTCACCCAAAACCTGAACATACACTTATTGTCATTTCAGCATATATAATTACATACGCAGGAGAAAAACACATCATTTTCTTTCTTTTCAGAATCCTTCTTTGAACATCACATCATATCATCATATGGATTTGAAGACCATGAAACACACAGAAGTTTTGTCCAAAATTGCTACCAACAATGGACACGGAGAAAACTCTGCATACTTTGATGGTTGGAAGGCTTATGATAATGACCCTTTCCATCCCAAACATAATCCTCAGGGTGTTATCCAAATGGGCTTAGCAGAAAACCAGGTAATTATTTCATTCTTTAATTTTCAAGAAATGGAATAATGCATATTTAATTTATGGATAACACCAGCTCGATCAAGCTAAATTATCTTCTTTTTTTTTTTTTTTTTCTTTTCAATTTGGTGTTTTAATTTGCAGCTCTGCTTTGATTTGATTAAGAAGTGGGTGTTGAACAACCCCAAAGCCTCCATTTGCACGCCCCAAGGAGCAGAAGAGTTTAAAGATATTGCTATTTATCAAGACTACCATGGATTGCCGGAATTTAGATGTGTAAGAATCATCATCAAATTTCATGCTATTTTTGGCTGGGATCTGTTTATTATAAATTGAGTAATAAAATTCTGAAAAAATATATACATGATTAATTTACTGCAGGCTGTTGCAAGATTCATGGAGAAAGTAAGGGGAGACACAGTGAAATTCGACCCCGACAGGATCGTTATGAGCGGAGGTGCCACCGGAGCTCATGAAGCACTGGCCTTCTGTTTGGTGAATCCCGGCGAAGCATTTTTGGTCCCAACTCCATATTATCCTGGGTAATTTATAAGCTTTTCATTTCAATAATATTAATTGTTCTGTGCTGTAATTCTTGAATTGAAGCTAATTAAGAGTGGGCAATAATGTTTTTACAGTTTTGATAGAGATTTGAGATGGAGAACAGGGGTACAGCTTTACCCAGTAGTATGTGAGAGCTCAAATGGCTTTAAAATCACCAGAACTGCACTGGAATCTGCATATAACAAGGCCCAAGAAGAGAACATCAAACTGAAAGGCTTGCTCATAAACAATCCTTCAAATCCACTCGGCACCGTTTTAGACCGGGACACCTTACACGACATCGTGCGCTTTGTCACCGACAAAGACATTCACCTAGTATGCGACGAAATCTACGCCGCCACGGTCTTCAGCCAGCCGGAATTCATCAGCATTGCCGAGATAATCCAGGAAGTCCAATGCAATCCTGACCTTATACACATCGTGTATAGTCTTTCCAAGGATTTGGGGTTCCCAGGATTCAGAGTCGGGGTAATCTACTCCTACAACGACGCAGTGGTGAGCTGCGCCAGAAAAATGTCCAGTTTCGGGTTAGTTTCAACGCAGACACAACACCTGATTGCTGCAATGCTATCAGACGATGAATTCATGGAAGATTTCATTAAACAAAGCTCGGAAAGGCTAAGGAAGAGGCACGAGAGCTTCACGCGAGGACTAGCCCAAGTGGGGATAGAAACTCTGAAGAGCAACGGCGGGCTGTTTGTGTGGATGAATTTGAGAAACCTCCTTAAAGAACCAACTTTTGCCGCAGAATTGGAGCTGTGGAGGATGATTATTAATGAAATGAAGCTGAATGTGTCCCCTGGATGTTCGTTCCATTGCCACGAAGCTGGTTGGTTTAGAGTGTGCTTTGCCAATATGGACGATGAAACCATGAGGGTGGCGCTGACGAGGATCCTGAAGTTTGTGCTTCAGTGGAAGGGGGCGGCGGCGAAGAAGAAGCAGTGCAGGAGGAATTTGAAGATCAGCTTATCCTTTCGGCGATTGGAGGATTGCATGATGTCCTCTCCTCACTCTCCGTCCATGCATTCGCCATTGGTTCAAGCGACCACTTAATCAAACAAGGATCACTACGTACAACACCAAAAATATAGTATAAGGCTATTAGCAATAAGTGTAGTCCTTTTGTGTCAATGCATATTATAATTACAAATAATAACTAAATTAAGGAATAACAGAGGACAACATCAATTAATATTTCTCATAATTATTCCTCCTATACTATATATATATATATATGTTTTATTTTCCTAATATTTAAATAGGGTTGGGCATTTGGTTATGAACTATATAGTCCTTCGTACGTAAAGTCCACACACATCGATAAACAGAAGAAACAGACAAAGACAGGGATAAATTAACATAATTGAATTAGTGCGGCACTAGTATGGAAAGAAGCTCAATTTTTTATTTTTTTATTTTTTTATTTTTTTTTAGATAAAAGAGCACATTTTATTGATGGCGAATAGCTCAGGGGGTAGCAAAGCCCCCTAAATCATACAAGAGAGCCAATTTGGCTTTTACATGCAATGCATTAAGAGAACAAAAGATTGCTAGAGAGATAGCATTAAGGCCTTCTGCCGCAAGAGCGTCGACAACCTAGTTAGCCTCCCGATAGACATGCCCTATTGAGAAGCCCCAAGACGAGAGACAGGAACGGATGTAATGAATAGCCTCCCTACACTTCCACGGGACCTTGGCCTCTAAAGCGGAGACCATACCAGCTAACGTAAGAGAGTCCACTTCAACTACTGCAGGCCGAATGACCAGCACTTCGCACCAGCGTAGGGCAAAATTTAGCTAAAGAGACTCGGCTTCAAGACGAAAGCACAGCCCCGCTACGATCTGCCCCCGATGATCCCTTAAGTAGGCCCCGCCTGCTGCGCTATTTGCTGAGAAGATCGTGTCTGAGTTGAGCTTTAATCTCCCCGAGGACGGAGCTAGCCATTTGACCCAGATCGACGAAGTCTGCCACGGAGCATCAAGATAGAACACCTAGCACAGAGGACAGATTGAAAGCACACAGAAACCAAAATTTTCAATTACATCAGGGAATGGAAGCAACCTCTTTAGCAATCTCAACATGAACACCGATATTTTGGGCGGTACCTCCTTCCCCCAGATACTAGCTGATGATAGAACACACCCAGCTTTTGGACGGAGGAGCTCGTATGCGGAGGTGAAAGAAAAATTTCCAAAGGGGGAGGTTGTCCAAACAAGGTCGCCTACCACAGAGGCCACATTATCATCAACAAAGTCCTTTATGCAATGCATGCGGCGCCAAGTGATAGAATATGTAGTTCTAGGCACATCATCAAGATATCAGGCCCTTAGAAAATCACTCCATAAGGAACCACCCTGCAAAAAATTAAAGTACAACTTAGCAGAGAATGCTTGCTACATTGTTGCAAGCCCGTGGATTCCTAATCCCCCTTCCTCCACTGGAAAGCAGAGCTTGTCCCACGAGGTCCAATGCCTTTTCGGCTTTCCATCAACGGAACCCCAGAAGAATTTTGCAAATTTAGATTCCAACGCTTTTTCAACCTGTAGAGGCAAAATCACCGAAGGCATTGTGTATAAAGGTATCATAGTTAAGACATGTTTAATGAGGGTTAAACGCCCCCCAAGAGATAGCAACTTGCGTTGCCAGCCAGCTAATTTCCCATCAACCTTTTCCAAGAGGTGTTGATAAAAGTCAGGCCTGTTCCGCCCTTTGAACAAATTAACTCCCAGATAACGGAAAGGTATAGAAGATCTCTGCATTCCAAGGAGGCAGGTCATAGATGCCTCTCTCTGGCTAGTGTAGTGCTTGGAAGTGACGAAGAAACTCTTACTGTAGTTTATTTTCTGTCCGGATCCTTCTTGATAAAGCTTCAATACCGCCGCCAAAGCTTTTCATGAAGTCGAGGAGCCATTAACAAAAATGACAATATCGTCAGCAAATGCCAAATGAGTGACCACAGGGCAATGCAAGCCCGATGAATAGGGGGATAGAATACCTGTGCCCATTTTCAAAATAAGCAAGTGAGACAGCGCTTCGGATGCGAGAATGAAAAGGAGAGGGGAAAGCGGGTCGCCTTGCTTAACCCCCCTGGTCGGTTGAAAAAAGTCGGCACTAACCGCATCAATAAGTACTGATAGCCTTGTTGCCTCTAAGTTGTTCAAAACCAGGTTGGCGAACATATCAGGGAAGCCAAATCTAGCCAGAAATGCACGCAGGAACGACTAAGAGACCCTGTCGAATGCCTTCATCATGTCTAGTTTGACGATCACATTTGAACACCAAAACCGTTTATCAATATGTTGCAATAGCTCAAAGGCTAACAGTACATTATCTTGGATGCTTCGGCCCTCCACAAAACCTGTCTGCTCCCTAGAGATTAGCTTAGGCAGAAAAGAGCCTACGCGGGAGGCAAGAATCCTCGTGAAGACTTTACTGATGAAAGTGCAAAGACAAATATGCCTATAATCCGCAAACATATCCGGATTTCTTTTCTTAGGAATCACCACTATTTGAGCGCTGGCCAAAGCACAGGGGATCAGGACACCAGCAAAGAAGTCCAAGGTTGCCTGGTAGACGTCATCATGAACTACGTCCCAGAAGTGCCTGAAAAAAGGATCCCGTAAAACCATCCGGGTCGGCTTCGCTATCAGGATCAAACTTCCACACCGCCTCCTTTACTTCCTCTCGATTAATAGGATTTAACACTGCAATCGCATCTGACTCACTCAAACTCGGATGAAGGCAAGTAAGAAGGGAGTCCATCTCCGAGCAGTCTTCGGCCGTGAACAACCTGGAGAAAAAAGAGATAGTTTCCTCCTGTATGGCTGTGTGGGCGGTTAGCAGAGCACCAGAATCGCTTTTATAGCACATATCCCCTGGTGGCGATGGCGATCTTTTACCACATTATGAAAGTAACGGGTGTTAACATCTCCCTCCCTTAGCCACTTCACTCGAGCCTTTTGCTTCCAAAAAATCTCCTCCTGTTTGAGCGCAAAAAGCAAGTCCGCTTCAAGTTTGTGTAGCAAGGCTCGAGCATCCCTCAAGGGGCAACCATCATAAGAACTTTCCACAGCAGCCACCTTAGCCTCCAAGCTACGGATGCGATCAAAAATGTTTCTAAAAACATTTTTGTTCCAAACCTGGAGGGACAGCTTAAGGCGTTTTAACTTGAAGGCGAGAGCCCGCATTCTGCCTCCATTTGCCGGCAGCGACCAGCTTTGCCGTACAACATCCATAAAATTTGGGACACTGCTTTGGGACGGACATGTTTTGGAAGCGAAACTGCTTTGGGACGGACATGTCAGCTTTTGATCCCGCGAGCAGGATAGAGGAGTGGCCTGAGGTTGCCCGAGCCAGCACATTGATTCGAACCTCTGTGAAAAAATCTCTCAGAGTCGGTTTTATTAAAAAACGATCCAGCATCTTCCAAACTGCTCCAGAACTTCAAATTCCATGCCAAGTGTATTGCCCTCCAATTGTAGCCAAATCGATCAGCGCATTATCCTCTATAATCTTAGAGAAATATGATATGCTTCCAAGTTCTGGGAAAGCTCTGCCTCTATATTCTGCGATGCTTGAAATCACGTTGAAGTCCCCCCCCCCCCCACCCAAGAGGGTCGGCTTGGTGGGATCAAGAAGCGCAGAGAGTTGTAACCAGAGTTGTGCCTGCTCTGTTCTAGTGTGGCTTGCATAAATTGCAGCATAGTTGAAGGAGAGATGCCATGGGGTATAACAGACACCGCACAACACAAACTAGTCTGTTTCCAATTCAACGTCAACCTCAAAAGAATCATTCCAAAGCAGCCAAATTTTCAAAACCGGCGAGGCGCAGCGCCCCCCCACCCCCCCCCCCCACCCCCCCCCCCCCAGCAAAATTAAAATCTCGGATGAAATTATTCAAACGTCCAGGAGCGAGGAACAACTCGATTATTGAGACAAATTGCACGTGATCACGTCGGAAAAGCCTATTGAGTCTGCCCCGTGAGGAGAGCAAACCTTTGACATTCCAGCTTAGCACAATAATTTTAAACGATGAGAGAAAGTAACTCTAGCGATATTGCCCGCAGCAAGACGGGTTGTAATAGAGGGGGTGTTTGTAGAGTAATCTTTCTGGGGTTGGCTTTTTTTCTTGGTGACTGCAACGTAGTCGTTATGCATTGATCTCCTTATCTTTGCAGCAAACTGTTTGCTTGCCTCTATCCAAGAATCAAGCAATGACTAAGAAAAACCTTGAGCGTTCTGCACCTCATCTCCATCCGATAAATGTCCTGGCTAGGAATCTGAGTGTGTTGATGACCGAATACATTGGTCATCAATGATGGCTCTCCCCAAAGGGTTGGAGGTGGCTGGTATTATTAGAGGCTCTACCGAGCTCCCCGAATCCAGCAGTGGTTCATTCGGGGGGTTTAACGGTGCATCACTGTACTCCTTGTCTGCCTAATCCACAATTGGCCGCCACCGCTTTCTTGGTGGCACAATTAGTGGTTGCTTATGGAGTAGAGGATCCTTCTGTGGGCGTTCCTTCGAGGGCTCCCGCCAAAAGTCCTAGTGTTGCAGCTGCGTGCTTCGACAATCTGAGATAAGGTGGCCAAACTTTCGACATTCCATGCAGTAGGGTGGAATGTGCTCATAGGTGACTTTTTGGGAGAAGCCCCCATAAGAGCCATTTGTGATCCAAACCTGACTCGGGAGTTGGTTGATGACGTTCAATTCTACACAAATACGCGCCATTGACGGCCGGTTGTGTAACAAGGTGGATGAATCCACCTTCAAAGGGGCACCAATCAAATTGGCGATCAAATAGATTGCCTTGCAGGTGAGCCGGTAGACCTTTAAAGGCAATCCAAACAGGAACGATAGGGGACACCATGTCTGGTCGGAAGTCTGTTGACCACTTGAAGATCTGCATTATAGAGCCACGGATCGACCAGGATTTCCAAAGCCAACAACGCTGGAAATCGTTTTCATGGTCGAAGTTGATGAGCACGGTGTTGGTCTAGGAGGCCCAGTGAGAAAGCACCACTGAATTTCTGAGAAAATTGTTGAATGTCTTGATCGGAGAAAGCGACCGCCGACATCCCCTTGAATCGGCCTGGAGGACGAAAAGGATGCACATCAGTGGAGTTCGAAAGAATATCCACAAAGGTACGTGGGGGTGGGGGCGCAGCGTCC